CTGTTTCTTGTTCCCTGTTTCTGCTTTCCTCAGCACTTTTCTATCTATAAAGCCTCCACCTTTACTCAGCTTGTTGGGAAAATGTATTCTATTATAGAATAAGATGCTGCTTGATTCTAGAATCACACAAAAAAAATCAATTGAATCTTTAAACTAAACTTGTCAGAATTTTACCTTTGATACCAGCAAACCAAATCATGATGGTTCTAGTTTATATCCTAGAACTTCCACAAAATAGGATTTATGGGGTAACTGATATGGCACAGACTGCATACTCAGAGAAACTTGGATTTCAAACCCAAGTCAGCTTCTTAATTGGGCAAGTTACTTAACTTTATGAGCCTAAATTCCATTACCTGTAAAATACTCATCCCACAGATTATTGTTAATCAACAAATACTTATTATCTACTTAACACCAGAACCAAATCCCTGTTTTCATAGTCTATATTCTAATGGGTGAAGCAGACAGTACAGAAGCAACAAACAAAAAAGAGTCTTTCAAATAGTGAAACATATTAGGAGGAAAATAAAATCATATAATATGATAAAGGTGAGAAGAAACTGAGACACTGAATGTGGATTTTTCTGGGACACTTCACTGAGCACTTAGCTTCAGAGATGAGACCTGATTGACAAGAGGAAACAAGCAAGTTGCAACGTGGGGAAGAGGACTCAAACAGCAGGAACAGCACATGCAAATGCCCTGAGTTAAGAAAAGCCTGGTTAGAAAAGGCCATAAAATATCTACTGTTTCAATTATAGTAAAAATAAAAGAAATAAAAGGCCAGGCTGCATGGAGCAGAGATCAGGCAGGGGTTGGTGAAGAAAGGTAGGACTAGATGAAGTTCAGTCGAGGGACCTTGATAAGCTCTGGTAAGGAACACAAATTTTCAAATGCAGCAAGAAGTTTTAGTAGGTGACTGATAGGATCTGAATTACATTTCAAGATCATTAAACTGCTATGCAGAGGGAATGGATTGCAATACGATGGGGGAAGAAGTGGGGAATTCAGTAAGGAGACTCCTCTGTACTCCATGTCCAATAATAGTGGATCTGAACAAGGGTGCCTAACAGAGAAAGAAAAGAGATATATTTTGGAAGTGGAACCAGTAGAAACTGTTCTCATGCTTAATGGAGGTGAACAAAAGGGAAGAATCAGAGTACTAATTTCAAAACAGTTATTTTTAAAAAATAGGGCTGAAATCCACTTCTTGCAGCTGCCACATATTGATTATGACCCTATCTGTAAGAACCTGTTCAAGAATCAGGTGTTTGAGGATAATTATCATGTTCCCCCTCAGAGTCCTCTTCTTTGTCTAAATATCTCAAATGTTTTCAGTCACTGGTCAAATGATTTTTAAATCTCTTTCCTACAATGAATGTCCATGTCTGACTGCATTTCATTTTGGTCCTACCTCCTTCCATGAATGGTATCCTCCAGCAACCAAAAAGCATGGGGTCTCCCTGTCACAAGGCAGAACTTGACTTTCACCCTCATCCTAGATCATAGCTTTCTATGAATGTCTCTTTGACAGCTGCTTAATAGTTTCTTGCTCCTTAAAATCTAATCAGGGAGAAAAGATTTGTACTTATGATGATGTAAGCTGGAATAAATTGAAAAGCACAAAAAAAAAGGTGTAAATGATCAAATGAGGGAAAGTCCATTTAATGGATATGGGGGTCAGCAATGGCTTTTATGGAAGACTTCAAACAAAAAAAAAAAAAAATTGAGTCATGGAAAAGATGCTGAGAAGTGTCCATGGTGGAAATGGAAGAAAGAGAAAGTTGGAAGAAACTTGCAATGGGAGAAAGCTGCAGCATGAAGAATGCACGGCATAGAGACTTCAGTTCGCTGTCACATAGGGCATTACGGAGACCAATGCACAAGGAGAACAGAAAGAAAAGGTAGGCTTATGACGCAGAGGCCACACCGGGTCCATCATGGAGTCAATACAGATTACATGAAGGATGTTGCTAAAGTAAGGGACTTTGTTCAGGGGATTTCAGTTCAGGATGATTATTCTGGTAACAGATTTTAAAAGTGAGGAAAGAAGGGGAAAACGTTGGTTCACAAAGAAAGTAAGAGGGGCTAAACAAAGCCTCCATAGAACGAATGGAAGCGGAGGGATGAATGCAGAGGAAGAACAGAATTTCCAGAGCTCAGCAACTGTGCTGATGGACAGGAACAACAGGAAAGAGGCAGAAAGCATGTCTCCTTGCAAGATAAGACAGGTTGTCACATGAAATATCAGTCATCAAATCCATCTTGATCAACAGATTTATACATCATTATCTTTTAGATTTCTTATCCTACCTGCTTTTATAGCATACAGAAAGGAACTGTTTTTTTTCTGTTAAATCCTAAGATTGTGGCCAGAATAGAAAATGAATCTTATAACTTAGAAATAAACTATATATTTGGATTAATATAGTCTCAGTGATTATTTAAGCCCCCAAACCCTGCTATCCTGCTATATAAGAACTGATCTGACCACAGTACACCCACCACTAAGCCTGGAATCCAGGCAACAAGCACAGCATGGAGTCGCACTTGCAGCAAAGTTCCTGTCTCTGTATTCCTAAGTGAACAGCATGCTCTCTATGCCCTGTGTGAGCTGACCAGCATTGCTTGGATGTATCTGATAAACAGTGAGGGAAGAGGAGGAGAAGAGAAAGGGGGAAAGAGGAAGAGAAAGAAGGAAGATAAGAAAACAGGGAGATAAGGCCTTAAAATGGAAAAGAAAGAGGGCTGGGGTTATAGCTCAGTGGTAGAGCGCTTGCCTTGCATGCAAAAGGCCCTGGGTTCAATCCTCAGCACACATAAAAATAAATAAATAAAAATAAAGATATTGTGTCCATCTACAACTAAAAAAAATATTTAAAAAATGGAAAGAAATAAATACTAGTTGGCAGATAAGATAACATATTCCTATGCAAAAATCAACACCATCGTATATTATCTTGGAGTGGTTAATATGTGTCCTAACAGAGTTGGTCCAGATGAAAATCCCTTTACTTCTATTTTATTATAACTTGAAAAGTAATATATGATTAGGAACTCAGAAATTATGTAAAAGTGTGAACAAGAGAACCACATTTCCCTATCACTCCACCACTTAGAGGTAACCTGTGTTAATATTTTACTCATATGACCCTATAGGCACTTTGCAATCTTTTTAATAATAAAAAATAGGTAGTTTTGTTGTCCTTTTTTATTTTTGATGTAATACAATTGTGGCCTCCTCTTCCTTCTTTTCCCTTCTTTTTCTGAACCATTCAGTTATAAAAAATTTAGGAGGTACAGAGCAGAAAAACAAAAAGTCTGAAGGAAGTATGGTGATCCAGAGCCCTGGAGCCCAAAAAGAAGTGGAAGGTCTGCAAGGATGGCATCCACACTGGGGGACGGCCTGGCTCAGGGAGGTAAAGAGGGTATGCATGTAAAGGCACAGGACAGGGCAGAGAACCAGAGACCCAGAAAGGTGAAGAAGACAGCTCACATAGCAAGCGCATGGCCTGGACTGCTGGAGCCAAGATGGCGAGCAGGGCACCTCCACAGGAGGGTGTCGGAGGCCAGGCCCAGGAGGACAGCTTCCCTGAGGGGTATCTGGGCCCACGTGGGCTCTGTGTGCAAAGGAGGGTTCCAAGTGTGGAACTACTGGAGTTACAAGCTTATTTCAAGAAAGCTGGCATCTTTACAATCGAATTTTCCAATCCAGAAATTGTATAGCTTTCCATTTATAAAAAAATTTATATCCCTCAATATGATATTTTAATTTTGTTCTCTTGTATTTATAAGTTTACCCTTAATTATTTAATATTTTCATTGCTATTGTGAATTCACAATATTGTGGCTATTGTGAATATTTTTTATATTATGTGTTTTTGGTATACAGAAAATCCATTAAAGTATAATACTTATCTGTAATTAATTATCTTAGTGAATTGTAATACTAGTCTATTAGTTTTAGTAATTTTCATTTGATGTTCCTTGGTTAGAACTGCTTTTTTAAATTATTCACGTTAAAATTGGTGCCATCCTTAAATTTTGTTAATATAAAATTGTTTAGTTCAGATTGCAAATGGGAGAAAGACTTTAAAATGATCATTCATTAAATCATTTATCACATATCTACTGCATACATACAATAACCCTGGCCAAGTTACACAACCTAGATAATCCTGCTTCCTTAACTGTAAAATGTAAATAATCAAAGAACCTACCTAATCTATCTAAATGAGAGAATGCACGTAAGTTACTTAGCTTTGCACATGGCAAGTGCTCAGGAAATGTTAACAGTCGCAGTGACAAAGACAATGAAACCCTACAAACTGCCCTCCCCAACACCCACAGAACCACCAAAGAATGAGCAAGCCCCTCTTTGTTTTCCTTTTTTTCATTTCAGCCACGTCTATAGTTCTCCTCCCTCCTGCCCTCCACCCTTCATTAACCAGCCTACACACACACACACACACACACACACACACACTCACACAGGGATCTGTAAGAAACTCTTTTTCTAATGTTATGATCCCCTTGCCTCCCACTTCATTTGTAATTTCTGAATCTTTCAACATCTAATAGGTTCTCAAGAAATACTTATGGATTCCAAACAAAATTAGAACACTAAAAAACACTCAGAACATCCTACTGCTGTATCAAAGTCTCAGTAAGTCAGTTTATTAATAGACAAGACCCACTCTACAATGAAATGTGAGATAACAACTAAAACCATGACTTTAAAATTTTATTGAGTTATACTTTAAGTGTCAAATACAATACTATTACATTTAAATTTAGAAATAAAAATACATTCCCCCTCTCAAAAAGCCTGTGATGTTCAGAATCATTTTCTGATCATTGCTCTTCGACTATACAGAAATCATACCTGTTTTCTTACTAAATTGTAAATTGGAAACTTGGTTCTATTGCCTACTAGCCAAAAGTCTAGTTTTGTCAAGAGGTGTATAACTAAGTCAAACTGCATACCATGAACTTACCCACTTCTGCCAAAGTCCTGATACAGGATTCCACTGAGGCTTTCTGTGCGGGGTTTGGCCAGGTGCAATTGTAAATTCTGAAGGCAGACTGCAGCAGCTGAATAAAAACTGGCTGGTGTGTCTGAAAACAAAAAGAAACAAGGCAAGTTGTGCCAATAAGCCACTAACATGCCTGATGTGGGATCTACGCATTATCAGAAAGGTTTATCAAAATAAAATGCAATACATTTTTTCAACTTTCAGTGTTATTTAATATATATCTCATTCAGCCAACATTATTCTATACCCACTTCATAATCCGCACTGTACCAGACACTATAGAAAATCAGTCATTTGCATTTTAACTATATTCTTAATCAGAAAATATGCCACTTCTTAAGCCAATGACATGAACCTAAGCAGTTTTTATAAATCTCTTTTGTATTCCCAAGTACAAATACAAAAGTGTTTTGGGTTTGGTTGGCTGGTGGGATTTCATATGATGGGCAAATAGAGAGGACAGCCGCTTTGAACTTCAAAAACAACTTCATGGGGCTGAGGTCGTGGCTCAGTGGTAGAGCACTTGCCTGGCACACATGAGGCACTAGGTTTAATCCTCCACAACACACAAATTTAAATAAATAAACTAAAGGTATTGTGTCCATCTACAACTAAAAAATAAACAAATAAAACAATTTCTTATATCTCTATACAATTGTTTAAAATTTTTCCCTAAAGAAAATACAATTGAAATGATATTTTTATAAGAGTAATATATAGTCACTGGAGAGTATTTGGGAACCATGGGAATAAAAATAGTCAATAATCTTTCAATGTGGAGATAATCAGTAACGATATTTTAAAGATAGAGTCATCCTTATATTTGAAGGGGGAGTGGGTTCCAGGACCCTTCACAGATACCAAAATCCACAGATATTCAAGGCTTTTATATGAAATTGTGTAATATTTGCATACAACCTCTGCATATCCCCCCCATATACTTTAAATATCTCTGTATTACTTCTAATACCTAATATAATATATAGGCTATATCAATGGTTGTTGCACTGTATTGTTTAGGAAATAATGACAAATAAAGTCTGCATTTGTTTGGTCCAGATGCAATTTTTTTTTCAAATATTTTTGATCCAAGGTTGGTTGAATCCTCAGATGTGAAACTAGCAGCTACAGAGAGAGTCAGCAGTATTTACTTCCTGAGTTTCTCTATGTGTATATGCATATGTATTCTTCACACAAACTATAGTATAGAATGATATTATAACACAAATTTTGTGACCTATTATTACTTCATAAACATTTTCCTTACCAATCAACGTTCCCTTTAAAACATGACTTTTAATTGAACATAATAAGATACTCTACAGATACACCACAATCTATTTAGCTATTCCCTTTGTGGACATTTAAGGTTGATATCAAATTTTAAATATTATAAATACCTGGATGAAAATTTTAATATATAAACCTACACTAATTCTTTAGGATAAATGTCCAAAGTAAAACTATTGGATTAAAATGCCTATCCATTTAAAGAACTATGTCATCATTTCAACACTTGGCGTGTAGTCAACATATAGATGTGAAAGATGTCAACCTGCTTACAGAGTAAGGAAAAATAACACAATTTCAAGATAGGGTCTCTTTACTTAAAATAAAGTTTGGTTCAGAAATAGGAATAATTTGAAAGAAGAATGCTTTTCAGAAAACAGCTGGGCACAGTGGCACATCCCTGTAATCCCAGCAGCTAGGGAGGATGAGGCAAGAGGATCACGAGTTCAAAGCCAATATTAGCAACTTAGTGAGTCCCTGAGCAACTCAGCAAGATCCTGTATAGAAATAAAATATAAGAAAGGGCTGGGAAAGAGGCTCAGTGTTCAAGTTCCCCTGGGTTCAATCCCAGTACAAAAAAAAAAAAAGAAAGAAAGAAAAGAAAAGAAATGTAGAGAACAACTTCTGAACCAGACTGTAGATTTTTCCTACTCCAAGAATATAAATTCCTTGCAACAATGCTTCTGCTCTTGGTTCAGTTACCTGGAGGCTGGTACTGTTGTCTGAGAAAGGAGAGCTGAAGAAGCCACTCACGATGCTCATGACTGACTCCGTGATGCACTTCTCCAGGAAGACGTCTGCGTGCTTCCTGTCTGTGGTGCTGTTGCAGACCTGGAGAGAAGAGCAAAACAACTCAGTGTGCTTCATCCCATCTTTGCATCATAACTCAACATAGGAATCTTCTAAAAAATTGTCCTGAAATAGCTCTCCATAATAATCTTTATCCTTTTTAAAGTTGCTTTGATTAGAAACATTTCTGCCCCCAATCTATTAAAATTGTATCATTTTGCAGTAGCTTCTCCTTCAAGTTTGACTCATCTCGGCCAGGGATCAGAATTCCTTCACAGACTCCAAGCTGCTTATTCTTGATTTTTTTGGCTTCTCCATTCCCTTGCACACCAAACCTGTCCCCTAGTCCTCAAGCTTGGTTCTCCTGGAAAACACTTTTCCTCCCATTCAACATGAAGAAGCCAAAGAAGAAATAGTCTTAAGTATAAGAAAGTGGTAGACATAATCAATGGTGGTGTGTGTCTGCATGCACTTTACCCAAACTGGACAGGGCAAACAAAGAAAATATCTGGAGGGGAGACCAGAAAGGTCAGAGAAGATAAGTCAACAACCTTTCCAACTATTCTGACTTTCTCACCTACAGATGATCTTGGAAGCATGGAAATGTACTTTTGTAAGCATTCTTCTCAGAGTAGGGTAAGCAAGAAGGCACAAAACTAGAGCTACAGACAGACCAAACAGGAATAGCCCTGGAGCTGGGGTTGTGGCTCAGTGGTAGAGTGCTTGCCTCACATGTGTAAGACAGTGGGTTTGATTCTCAGCACCACATATAAATAAATGAATAAAATAAAGGTCCATCAACAACTAAAATATATTAAAAAAAAAAACAGCCGTGCTTCCTGCTCTGTTCTTTACATTTGATTAAATGAGGCACAAACTGGCCAGTTTGCCAAACTATAAATTTCAAAGTGTCTCAGGGTGGAGAAATTGCAAATGCTAAGATGTATAATTAAAAAAAAAAAACACATAAAAAGCACACAGGAAACATGGAGATAAAAAGGAGAAGGAGGAGAACAGAGGGTGTGAGAAGAGACTGAAAAACAGAGAGGGAAATAAAATTTAAATGTTGACAAATTGTAGTGGGTAAATATGGTGGCCATATGTTCCAGATGTTCTTAGGCAACCCAAATTTTTATGTGATTTTTGTCTTTTCAATAAGGTGCTTAAGTAAAAGAATAAGTAAATGTAATTTCATTTGATATTGCTTTAAAACTCTTCATACAAATTCATAAAAGAGAAAAATTCCTTTCTCAAACCATGTGTTCCAATGTTTTCAGTTTAGAAAACAGAAGTGCTAAAGCTAGCAATTGCTGAATGGGGGAGAAGAAAGAGGACAAGTTTGCATCTAAGCCCTTCTCCATTTCATTTTTTCCCCTCTATTAAATGGCACCTATCTGATGTTTTTAGAACTAAAGGATTTTCAGTACAACTAACATCATAGGGTTATAGTAGGGAACAGTACAATTAAAGGAAATAAACGATGCCAAGTTATGTAATCCAGCTCTTGTCCCAGTATATAACATAGTGTCTGGCACATACAAGATGTTCAATACAGTAGTCCCCCTTATCCACAGAGATATATTCTAAGACCCCTGGTAGATGCTTGAAACCATGTACCATGTTTCATCTACCAAACCCCAAATATACATATTTTTTCTTATACATGCATACCTACAATGAAGTTTAAGTGGCAAAGTAGGTACACGAAGAGATTAACAACAACATAATAAAATGAACCAATTACAACAATATATTGGAATGAAAATTATGTGAATGTGGTCTCTCTCTTCCCCCACAATCTTATTTTATTTTCACTTAAATACTTTCCAAATTCTCTTTGACATATGTGAATTGCCAGCATCACTCACTACTCTTGTGTGTTGGGGTCAAGATTAAGTAAAATGAATGTCACTTGAACATAAGCACCGCAACACTGCTACAGTGGATCTAATAATCAAGGGGTCTACTAAGTGACTAGCAGGTAGGTAGCATATATGCCATGGATAGGCTGGACAAAGGGATAATTCACATCCTGGGCCAGAGGGCATGGGATGACGGATGACATAAGATGCGTGAGATTTCATCAAGCTACTAAGAACAGCATGCAATTTAAAACTTATGAATTGTTTGTTTCTGGAATTGCTCATTTAATACGTTCAAATTTCTGTCACCCTCAGATAACTGAAACTGCAGAAAGTGAAACTGTGTATAAGAGGGGACTTTTAAATGTTTGTGAAATGAATGAATCAATAAACTAATTAAAAAAAATAACTAACGACTCTTATTTTTTATTTTGTTCATTAACTTTGAGCTAGGCTATCTTTGTGAGCCACTCTAACCTGGAATTAACATTTCATGTGGTCTCAGAACTGATATAAAATTGATTTTCCCAAGATGGATATGAATTAGGATTTAGTTCTGTTGGTACCTTTCTAGCACTGGCTTTTACATTGAACTTTTCTGATATGGAGGATAAAACTGTATAATGTTGAATTTGTAGCAGACCAATTCTGGCAGAACCAGCAAGAGTGACCTTCTTCATTCATGATACAACATGCAATCATGTAGAGCTCTCTGGAGTTATGAGAGTTATCACACTGCATTACTTGAAACTGGAAATTTGCCAAAGCACCACCCAGAAATTTCCCTTTCAATCAATAGAGTAATAAAAGTTATCTATTTCTAGATAAAAGTCTTTATTCAAAATCTTGAATAGTAAAAACTCTTATGTTTACAAAATGGTGCAAAACCTATTCTCTTTTCAAGCTATTTTTTTTTCTGCCTCATATGAATGGCATCCCATATTTTATTATCATTAATAGCCAAGAAATGTAGGAAGCTACTTTTCTTTTATTTATTTATTTTTTAGTTGTTGTTCGACCTTTATTTATTTATTTTATATGCGGTGTTGAGAATCGAAACCAGTGCCTCACACATGCCAGGCACGTGCACTACTGCTGAGCCATAGCCCCAACCCCAGGAAACTACTTTTCTTATTAAAATCTTTTAAGAAATTTTCAGGGGAAATGAAGCTAATAAATAGTGTAATATTTCCTTGTCCTCTCTATTACTGATTTTTATTACCTCTTTACAACAAAGATCAGAAATGACTCAAATACAATTATATCACATTAAATTATCTTTTATGTGTTTTACATGTTTTCTCAAGTTTCAATCGCTTTCATGTATTAATGACATAACATTATTTCCTATAAAACATTTCTATGTACTGTCATTACCTAAAAACTTGTTTTAAAAGGCTATATTTATTCCATCATTTTAATGTATTCTCATGCTTTAATCTATTTTTGGAATGGGCTGAGGTATATATTACCAAAAATACAAATCATTTTCTTAGTTATTTCCTTCTTGCTAGTCTTTTATGTGATTTCTTTTATTTATTCGTTTTTATTTATTTAGGCTATCACAAAGAATTATGCGAGATTACCAATTTTACTTTCAGATTTTTGGGTATATTTCACCCAAGAACGAGTCAAATGAGGGTGAGTAGACAGTTTTATACTACTTGTTGGGATGATCCTCTAAATAAATTTACGATGCTATCAACAATCATGGGTACATAGGATGTCCCTACATTACCATCACTAGCTCTAGCTTTCAGGTTCTGGTTGGGTTTCATTACTGCAGGGCACTGTCGGGAGATCACAGAGTGGAAGAGAAAGAGGTCAGGTACCTACCCACCTCTGCTCCCATGCCCACGTCCCTTTCTCTTCTGAGACTTCCATGTTCTGGGGACCCACCTCCAACTGGAGCCCATCTTGCATGTCTGCAAACTGCCCCCTGACAGGAACACTGTGCTGCCCACTGCCCCTTCAGGCCCCTAGGCAGTACCAGCTTTGTCTTGTTCCCAGTTCCTGGTTCCTTCAGCCCTACCCACACCTCTCCCAGTACGCCATTTGTTTCCTACTGAACAGACTGCTACGCCTACATATTATAATAATTATTTTGTCAATTTAATGATACCTAAAAGTTATTTCATTTTGTATTTCATACATTGTTAACAAGGCTGGGTACTTTTATGTCATCATTTCATGTCTGTTTTCTGTCCTGTACAAGAAACTCAAGCCCTGGAAACCACTTTCCAACAACCTGGATAATGACTGTACATTATATATCAGTTTAATAGACCTTTTATAAGCTCTTTTCAGATTGTGCACTCTGACTCTTAGAATATTTACATCCTTCTGTTTCACTGTGTAAACTAATTTTTAACATTCAAGCCCTACTACTTATTTTGATCAGACCTATTTATTTAACATAAAGAACACAAAACCTCCCTTCTTCAAAAAAAATTATAGTCTATACATTTTTATTCTAGTTTTTAAACTCTTTATCTGCATTTTGCTGCTGTAGGTAATCTAACGTGCAGAAAATGCTTATTTTTTTCCCCATACTGAAACTCACCTGCCCTCCAAACATTTATTGAATAGTAATTTCTTGCCTCCTTCTTAGGTGGCTTCAGGTTGGTCTTACAATATGTCACTAATTACTTAAATCTCTCTCTAAATTTTTATATACACCAAGGATTTTCAAAATATCTTAATCCAACTGCATAAAAATAAAAGATTCTCAGTTTGTAATGTGTTTTCCAGCTTGAAAAAAGGTATCCACCATCATTACCTTTCCCAGGAAAAAAAAATACACCTTTTGAAATATTTGTCCTCTTTTATTTCCAGATGAATTTTATTGTATATTTGTTGAAATTCATGACTATCATACAGCTTCTTGAATTTTTAAATTCAAACTAAACATTGGATTAGGAATTCGAATATCTGATTAAACAAAATAAAGTCCGTCGTCTACTAGAGACCTTATTTCAATCAAGAAAGGCACTCCGCAGACAAATTAATAAATACAGAACATGTGAAGTGGTAAAAAAAAAAAAAATAAAAAAAAAAAAACAGACTATAGAGAAAATAGAGGCAAATGGTATAGAGGAGGGGTGATTATGTTGAGCATTACAATTTATTTACATTTCTTACATAACATCTAATTTTAATGAAGAACTGAAAGAGGAAGCA